ATTGTCCCTCTGAGGCCTTGATATAGCTCAGCCTCTCCTTCATCACTGGGCTCTCCACAGCCCTGTGTCTGCATCCATGCTGGTGCTGGGCTCTCCACACTGTACTGTGGCCCCAGTAGCCTTGGTCTGGTCCACTAGTTTATAAACAACAACCAAAATATAAGCTCCTGGGCTATAACATAATACAACTAGTTCAGGGTGTGCTCTGTCCCTTTAAAAGAGTCAAACTCCCCACCAAGACTTAAGTGCCTTGTAGCCCAGGGTACCCGGTGAGCTCCTGGAGTCCCATTAGTCTTATAGGCAGCCACCGCATCCCTGGGAAATTCTTCTCTAGATGTTCCTTCCCCTGGCTGTTGCCGAAGAACCAGCCCCTACTAGCCTCAGCCCTGAGGTTTATATACTCCAGGGTGCTGAGGGAGCTGGCTGGGGTTATTGCAGGGCCCCTGGCACGGCTCTACGAGCGATCGTGGTGCTTGGGCCAGGTGCCAGACGATTGGAAGGTAGCTAATGTGGTCCCCATCTTCAAAAAAGGGAAAAGGGAGGACCCGGGCAATTATAGGCCCGTCAGTCTTACCTCAATCCTGGGGAAGCTCTTTGAGAAGATCATCAAGGAGCACATTTGTGATGGGCCGGCATCCGAGATGATGCTCAGGGGCAATCAGCATGGATTTATTAGGGGGAGATCATGTCAGACCAACCTGATTGCCTTTTATGATCAGGTCACAAAGGCCATGGATGCAGGTGTCACAGTGGATGTAGTCTTTCTGGACTTCAGCAAGGCCTTTGACACCGTCTCTCACCCCATCCTAATTAATTAACTAGGCGACTGTGGCATAGATGCCTACACGGTCAGATGGATTGCAGATTGGCTGAAGGGTCGCACTCAGAGGGTGGTGGTGGATGGATCATATTCGACTTGGGGGGAGGTGGGTAGTGGAGTCCCTCAGGGCTCGGTCCTGGGCCCTGCGCTGTTCAATGTCTTCATCAGCGATCTTGATGTTGGGGTGGAGAGCAACCTGTTTAAATTCGCTGATGACACCAAAATTTGGGGGGAGGTGAGCACGCTAGCAGGGAGAGAGAGATTGCAGAAGGATCTGGATAGGTTACAGGGGTGGGCAGACAGGAACAGGATGCGTTTCAATACGGACAAGTGCAGGGTGCTGCACTTGGGTAGTAGGAACCAGCAGCACACTTATACGATGGGGAACTCCCTACTTGAGAGCACGGAGGCGGAAAGGGATCTTGGTGTCATTATTGACTCCAAGATGAACATGGGCCGACAATGCGAGGTCATGGTTGGCAGGGCTAACCGGACCTTGTCGTGCATCCACAGGTGCATCTCGAGTAGAGCCAGGGAGGTGATCCTCCCCCTCTATGCGACGCTGGTCAGGCCGCAGCTGGAGTATTGTGTCCAGTTCTGTGCGCCCCATTTCAGGAGGGATGTGGACAACATGGAGAGGGTCCAGAGGAGGGCCACCCGCATGATCCGGGGACAACAGGGCAGACCCTACAGTGAGAGACTGCGGGACTTGAACCTATTCAGCCTCCACAAGAGAAGGCTGAGGGGGGACCTGGTGACCGTCTATAAACTCACTAGGGGGAACCAGAAGGGTTTGGGGGAGACGCTGTTTCCCCTAGCCCCTGCTGGCATAACAAGGAATAATGGGCACAAGTTGATGGAGAGGAGGTACAGATTGGACATCCGAAAAAACTACTTCACAGTCAGGGCGGCTAGGAGCTGGAACCAACTTCCAAGGGAGGTGGTGCTGGCCCCTACCCTGGGGATCTTTAAGAAGAGGCTGGATACTTACCTGGCTGGACTCATTTGAGTCCCGTTTTTGTTTTTAGGGTGAGTGGTTTTGTTTGTGTTTTTGGGTTGTTCTCCCGCCCTGGCGGGGGGTCGGGCTAGAAGATCTATTAGGTCCCTTCCGACCCTGAAACTATGAAACTATATGTGCCCAGGGCCCTGCCTTCTTCCGGTCAGCTGACCGGGTGCAGGTGCAGGCTAATTTCCTTTTTAGCTAGCTGCCCTAGTATCTTATACCTGTGGGGTTTCTGCCTGGCTCCTAGGACCCTCTCCCTAGGCAGTTTCTGCTCTTAAAGGAGCAGGCGCTTTAGTGCCCTGCAACATAGTGATGTCTGGTAGATGGAGTTGTCCCTGGGTCCTAGGCAGCAAGTCAAATTAGAGAACAGCTCTTGGGCTTCTCCAAGGTGTGCTGGATGGGGCTGGACTCTTGCAGGCTAGTTCAGGATTGGGAGCTGAAAGCTGGTTTGGGGGTTATCATTTGCCCTTCTTCCTCATCATGCCCAAGGCCTCATGCTTCCACCCAGGGGCTCCCTAGCCAAGCTGAAGTCCTGGCATCTATGAACTGTACATTGGAGCTGTTATCCCACTGTTTTCTAGTCCTTTAGGATGAAAGGTGCTAGATGACAGTAGGGCGTTATCATTCTTTCTGTTTTACACATTACATTTTTCCTTTAAAAGAGTGACAAAACATGTCCAGAATGCTCAAGCAAATTTCTTCAAAGAAGCAAAATCCTACAGGAAGGGAACTGTACAGTGACAGAGAGCCACCATTGCATTTGAAGACTTAAGGACCATGTATTTCAATGGACATTGGCATTTACCAAAACTGCTCATTAGACGTGATAGATGAGATCCTGAACTGGTATAAATCAGCATTGTTCCATAGACACCAGAGGAGTTTCACCTAGAGAGGACGTGGAATTTCTATTATTATACGTTTTTAAGAGGAGGTTAGACAAACACTTGAGTAGGATGTTGGACTAGATGATCTTCCAAGGTCCCTTGCAGTTCCACTTCTCTATGGGGCTATGTCTTGCACCAGGGGATGAAGATTATTACACATATGTGTATTGTGGTAACACCTAGAGGCCCTAAGAGAGGATTATGGACAATACCTGCTCCAAACAGCTTCCAATCAACCTGTTGACTGGAGGAGTCTGTAGGGCTACAGTATGTAGTTCAAGTTAAGCACCTATGTAAGTATATGTAGGATTAAGGAGTAGGTGAAGATCTACCTCTTTAATTATGAAGAAAGATGCCATTATCACTAGGAGATGATGGTATGTCACTCATCTACCGTCTCCTGAATTCATCAGGGATGCCATTTTATTATTCAGCTTGGACCTCCAATAATATTTTAGTGCAATAGAAGAGATAAAAGTTGTAAGGAAAATAATATGAGCACTGAAATTATACTACTCTTCTTATAGCTTGTTTAAAAGATTATTTTAATTTAATTGATCAATTAGATTAAATTATGTACTTGCATGCTGCTGGCATAGACCCAAAGTGGAGCTATTGGTATTTCTAATGTCCATAAGCTCAGCCTCAGATACCTTTAAAATGATTTACCTGATGGGAAAATGTTTTTAATTAGGGCATTACATGTTATCTTTACTGGATTATTTAAACTAGCAATTGCTGTTCTGGCTAGAAGATGTTCCTATAATGAAATATTCCACCTCTTGTACATCCCATAGATCCAGAAAGAGACACATTTTGATTAGGTTTACAACACCCCATATGAACTTTTCCAGTGATTAGAAATGAAATCACCTCAGGAGGCTTAGCTCAATACTGTGGTTTATTTTTCATCTATAAGATCTTCCTCTGTCTAGTACATTATCTGTTTTTTCTTCTCCACTGTAGGTTTTATCCTTCTATTTTTTTAAACATAGAGATCAGCTATTTTAACATAATGCCCCCCTGCTAAGCTTTGAATAATATTATTTGACTATGGAAGATGCTTAAACTCAGAACTCAACAAATCCAGACACTGCTTTTCAGTTGGTGTAAATCAGTTATAGCACCATTTACTTTCACTTCTTTTTGCCAGTGGAAGGTTTGATGTTTCTCGTTATTTTGAACTATTTGCCTTTGAAACAATGTATAGTGTTGCTTTTATACAAAAAAGGTCTCTGTTGTCAATGGACCCCACAACCGTGAATGAAGGCTCAATAGCCATATGTAGGTGCTAATTCTAGGGGCTGGTTACAATTGAATTTTCAACTAAATCAAAATTGGTTGTAGAACGTGTGTGTGTGTATAGAGAGAGTGTGTATACACACAGAAGCAATATTTAATATATATTATATACAGTGTGTATGTATATGTGTGTGTGTGTGTGTGTGTGTATAGACACACACACACAATATTTACTATATATTATATATAGCATATAGTGAATTGTGTATTAATATATAATATACTATTACCATATGCATTATATATTATATTACTTATTATATAGTTTTTCCTCAGTTGGAAGAAGAAACAAAACAAAAATTAAAGCAGTTGCCCCTTTTTAAAGTTTTCATCGGGTTTAGCCAGAGTTCATTTTTTTTTAATAAAAAGTCTGAAAAATGTCCTAAAAATATTGGCAAAAATAAAAGCTGTTTCTTTCAAATTTTCTGCAGGAGAAAGAAAAAAAGCTCCTTCCATTTTCTGACTAGTTCTAATTCTGGCTTTTTGTAGAGCTGAAGAAACGGAGGCAGTGGGGTAAGCCCCTGGCTTTGACTAGCACAAGACGTGTGTCAGTATTGGAAATATAATTCAGCTGCCCTGAGCCATTCTCAGCTGCTTTGCTCCCAGATTCAGCCTTCATTTCCAAACAAAGCAGCAAAAGGAGGAGTTATGCTGATGTGATGATGCAGTGTCTAAATCCATTTGCTCTTATGACAGTCTGAAATCTCCTTTTGTCCTTTGTTTAAAGGTGCTGCCTACGCATGTTCACAGGAATATGTAAGATATATATTTTCCGATATTTATTTGGTAGTGTGTCCTTCCCTAATAAGGGAGGGGGTCTGCTTGGGAACTTGTGTATTCAGCTCCTGCATTTCTACTTTATACTGTAATTAAGTGAGTTATTGGCCATCTGTTCAGGATGAATTGTGTATGATTTGACTCCCCTCACCTGGCACTTGTGGCTGTCCTTTATACCTGTGTAAAGTGGATGTAAGGCAGTATGTAAGGCTTCTGGTTCTGCTCCCCCCTGCTGCTATTCTGTTCCATGAGGGGCAAGGCAAGGTGTAGGACAACTGCCTTTGACTGGGTACGTAGTACACGTTAATTTAGACTTTCTGGCTTGCAGCCCCCTGTGAAATAACTACAGCCCTGGAGCTGTCATAATTACATCAGAGGCCCTTCTCAGCTCCCCCAGCTGTCCAGAATTGGAAGGGCTCAATCCTTGTACTCCCTCTGGGCTTTCTTTGCTGTATGTCCTGCAGGCATATGCAGCCAAATTGCTGAGGTGGCCGCTCTGCTTTGGTAGTGCTGTTGTAGTCAGGAGGGCCCAGGTAAAGAAGCAGGGTTGCTTGAGGACATCTTCTATTGGATTAACTTTATAGCCAGGAAAGATTTTAGAGGTCAGAAAAGCTTTCAGGCACAGAGAGCCTCTCCTCGGGTCTTTGGTAGCATTTGACATGCCTGTTGCACTCCCTAGAAGCTGATTGATGCCAAGACCTGGGAGGTGGGTGAAGAGAGGGCTTCAAGCTCTAGGCCCTCAGCTGGCATCATTTTGTGCAATCCGTGGAGCTGACCTGCACCAGCTGCAAACCTGGCCCGAGTCCGTCCCTCTTACTTCAGAAGAAACCTTTCAGCATGCGAGTGTGTGAAACTGAGACTCTTCTATAGAGAAACCCTCTTTCAGAGATGCAAAGGTAATTCAGTTTGTAAGCTCAACGGCCTGATTTGCTACCTGAATCAGGCAAGGAGGGTATGTGTGGGAAGACTATGCTTACAATGGCTTGCCTCCCAAGTCTAGTGTTTTAACCTTCCCACTCCCCCCACCTCCCAATCACTCAATTGTACTATTCATGGGTTAGTATATGACTCAGCCAAATACAGTGCAGCACATGAGAAAGACTTGCTGCATTTTCTTGATGGATGCTCATCACTTAGCACTGGGTGGGAGGGGAACTGGGGGTGCCTAGCTCTCCTGCCTCTGACTTTGGCCAGGAGAATAGTGTGGGGCTGAAGAGGAAGCCGAGAGCTGGGGGAGGTGAGCTAGCCTGAGTGGGGAAGTAACCTGAAGTCCTTTAAGAGTTGCAGCAAGGAGCCGCAGAGTCTCATTGAAGATGTGACTGAGTCACAGTTCTTTCCCCGGGCAGCTCAGCTAGTGCTAGCTCTTATACAAGGCGCTGAGCAAAGTCTCATTCCAGGGCAATGTTAACCACAAGGTGAGTGTCCCTTTGTATTAAATGCAATGTCTGCCAGAAGTTCCAGGCAAGGCATGAAATGCACTGGGACCCCAGGAAAAAAAAAGTCCACTTCTAAAATGATATCAGTAGCACCTGATTTATGAAAAATGTATACATGTGAGTCAGGAACAGCTTGTGCTTTCACACTAAATAAAATGAGAAGACAGAAGAGGGAACTCAAATGTCTATGAGCATACTCATGTATACAAATGACTGTCATAAATCTTTTTGCATGATTGCTTTGCTTTGTGGCATCTCTTTGGGGAGTTCTGCAGGGGAAAAAATATCCACCTCACAAGTTGGGAAAATGGCAAAAAAAAAAAGGAGGGAAAAGAAACTGAATTTGCAGATGTAATTATGCAATTCATGTAGAGCATGCTCGGTTTGCTACTTGGAGAAGGGGGGAACAATCTGAGACAGTGCTATTGGTTTAAATTAATTCAATTAAAAAAACAATGTGGGTGAATCTGTTTCAGTTGTGCAAAATGCACGCCTGACTTTGAACAGGGGAAGGGAATTAAAAGTGGACACGCTCGGTTCTTGAAACATCTGGTGCGAGGGGAGAGAGAAAATGCCTGAATCTTGGACCGACTGTCTAGTGGTAAAGCTGGGTCCTCTAAGCTGGTTTAAACCTCCCTGGATGTCAGGCTGATTCACATCAGCTGAGAAATCTGGCCTGTAATGATTTGCCTTTTCTTTGCTGCCTCTGAGAATATGTCTAAATGATAGTCTTGGGTAGCAGTAGCTGATTAGCCACAGCAGCTTGGAGCTCATTGAGGGCTGTAAAAACCCACCTGAGAAGCAGGGTAAATATCTGAGCAGTTGAACTGAACTGACTTTTATGCCACAGCTAGTTTTAGACTAGGGTGGGTGTTCCTGCCATACGTTGCTGTCCCAGCAGTGACTTCCAAACTGTGGTAAAGGAAGACAGTTTATCCAACAAGGCAGTCATGTGGGCAAGTCTCCATTATCTTTCTGTTTCCTAACTCATAGGACTTACAAAGAAATCAAGTCAACTGTCATGTCATGAAAAACAAATGGTTGAATTGCAGCACTTAGGCAGTCATAGAGCAGGTTGGTGAAGGCCTTCACTCTCCCAGGGAAAACTTGGGGAAGACTTTTGCTGTCAGGAAGTTTCCAAGTCTATTGGGAAGTGAGTGGGCTGCTTTCTCTGGGCCGTAGCTCAATCTGTCTGTCTTGAGCAGGAAGAGACCAGAGAAATGAGGCAGCCATCCTGAATTCTCTTACAGTCTCAGCCACTGCATGGCCAGACACAGAGATGGGGCCCACTTCTGCAAATTCGCTTACGTGGAAATTGGAAGAAGTAACTGCAGCCCAGACAGGTAGGTGTGCAATGAATGGGTTTGCAGAATCAGGCCTGTTGCTTCTTTAGGCTTAGCAACATGGCTGGGAAATAGGTAAACACTTACTGGAGCAGAACAACTGCTGCAATAGTGTGTTTGCAAACACAGGCTAGAATAATGAGGAAGAATTCATTTGATGGGGTTTGGGAGCCCGCCCCCCTTGCAAACCTTGGTGCCTGTAATGTGGTTTTACATGCAACCTTGTGCACATAAGATGACAAGCTCACAGCTGCTGCTGCAATTGCACTCATGTGCCTATCCTAAAAAGGACTTAAAGAACATAAGTGACTTAAGGAAGGCATTCTCCTCCTTTTTGTAAAATGTCAGTCATCCAGGTCTTTCATTGCTGCTGTGCACAACCAGCCAGCTGGCTATCCACCTGTACGGTTCTGCTCTCGCACAGACACAGCTCTCCCTTGGAGACAAGCTTCTTTTTGGTTTTGAAGTGAAGCTCTTGAGATGTATTATTTCCATCAGCTTCTAGTGCCAAGAACAGGGCACAGCATTGTGAAGCCTTTTCTGCCTCTTTCGCTTTCCATTGTTGAAGTGGAAGTGTCAGAGGGAAGAATAGCAGAGAAGTCTGTGGAACTGAGGTTAGCACAAGGAGAATTAGGTCCTTAGCTGGTGTAAACTGCTAAGGAAGCCAGCTGAGGACTCAACCCTAATGGCCAAAAAGTGGGGTAAAGGGGAATTGGGGGTTGAGTTGGTAAAGATGTGCATTCCCTTCTTATCAACATTCAGAACTATGATTATAGGTTTGGGAGGGACCTCAAGGGTCATCTAGTCCAACCCCGTGATGTGCTGAAAACTTCCTGTGTTTTGAAAAGTTTCAGCCATGGCTGTTGGAGACAGGTGTAGGGGAAGCCAAGTAGCTTTACATAACAATAAGTGCCTGCTTGGTGGTCCGTCTGCTCAGAGCTCAGTTGCCTCAAACAAAGCTGTTATGTAAAATAGGCAGACAGTGACCTCCCACCGAGACAGGCTTAGCATGGCACCTATTCACATCGGTGAATGGAGGAGTCTTTTGGCTCAGCTTGCAGAACGGCTGTCCAGGGATCTCAGGCTCCTGGTAGGAGTCCCAGCTGCAGCAAGAGGGAGGCTCCCCACACACACACAGTGAAGTATGTGCAGCCTCTGCATGAAGGGCCTGGTTAAGATCCTACTAGTGCCAAGCTATCTGTGGGCTGCACTTGCAGCTGATTTCAGCCAGTGTGAAATATCTTGGCTAAGCAGAGTGTTTTGTGTTCATTGGGAAGCCTGTACCACAGCTCCAGACAATAGTTACAGAAGGAGGATGGGCTGTTTCTTGCTATAATAAAACCATTCTGCAACCACTGTGAAATAATCCTTAGCAGACTCAGGAAAAGGTACAGATGAGCTGCTCTTTGAAGAGCAACCAGGGCAGCAAAAAATTGCTTACTCTAGGTTTTGTAGGCGCTTCTTTTGCATTATTATCCATCCCTAGCACTGGCTGGGGGTTGGACTAATTATTTGTTGACTTAAGTAATTCCTGTGCTCAGCAGACTAACAGAGGATGGAAACTGTGCCACAAATGGGCAAAACTGTTTTCGCTGCTGTCATCTGCTTTGTGTTGTGCATGTAACATCAGCAGCTGATTTCAGCAG